ATACTAGAAGAAGAGAGAGGGAACATACTTCGCTCAGTGACTTGCTCATGGAGAATGCTATTAGCTTCGGGTCACTGATCAGGGTTTTCCCTCCAAACAAAACTTTGTTGTAAAAGGCTGAGAGACGACTATCCATTAATCAGGCTGGTGGCAGCTTGTAGATGTCAAGAAATATGGTTTCTCTTTCTCTCTGTTCCGCTGGCTGTTGCGAATCACAAGTGCGTGCACATTTGCGAGAGAGAGCGTGGTGATGTTGTGTGATTACAACCAACAGATTTTCTGCATTCATTAAAATAAAGCTGGAGCTAAAATACAGGCAGTTAATGACATTGTAAACTGGCCAATAAGCCCCTTCCCTGAAGCAATCAATCAAAAGCTGGCAATGCTTTCTGGATACTTTGAGAGCGGCTCGCTTTATTTGCCTCGCACCTTCTCTCAAGTGAACAGCTGTTTGAAATCTTCTAGAATTAAATTCCATCAGAGCAATGCCTAAAATGCTCATACCTCCTCATTATCATATATTAGTTCCTAAATCAAATGAAAGCCGCGCTCCACGTTCCACAATAAAATGGATGTACTGCGATGCGACAAGTAGGATTTTCGCAATAGTCATAAAGCGACTAATATAATTCACCATTAATTTTTACAATCATTTTGATAAAAAACAAGCACCAAAAGTCACAAATTACTCCCGAAGACACATGATGTCACAAAACGCCCAATAAAAACGTGTTATCTACCGACAATTTACAGCCTATTAAAAGCAAGATAAACTTTTTTGGGTTAACGACGAGTAGGACGTGCATTAATCATAGCACACAAAACATCAAAGAACAAGGTCGGTCACTTCTTCGTTGCCGAAAAACATATAATGGAGAGCACACTGTGAGTTTGTCAAGTTGTGGGCACATGCCAGACACAGCCCTTCTGTACTCTCCTCATCCTGCTGTTCTGGATTCTCCCCCTGATGTTCTCTGGCCTGTCTGTTGTCACACCACTGAGCTCTCTGACAAACCACGAGCACCAGCCAGGTGTTTGGAGTGGTTTTGAGGCTTGCAGCTGTTTAAGTGGTACAAGGGGACATTTGTTTTCAAAAAAAGCCCCAAACAGTGGGAGCTCCTTTGGAGACTCAGCGGAGAACTAGCCGACAGCATAGAGGTATTGACGCAGCAGGCAGAGAGCCAGCGAGTGCCAGTTGGGTAAGCCATGGCTGTCTTATTGGCATGCGGGAACAGGTACCAGTGCCTGTCCTGAGACAGCTGTAAAGCAGCAGCCCATACAACTGCAATCAGGCGGTGGCCGTCCTCAGAAGAATGCTGATGTGCCGCAATCTGCGTCTGTCTGCTTTCGGCAGCCAAGTCTCATACCTTCTTCTCAACAACATGACAGCCTCCTCACGAGTGACAGGCAGAGGATGCAGGAGATAGAGGAAGAACCGCGGCGGAAAGCAGAAGGGGGGAGGAAACAGAGCACCAAAACAAATGGTGACCTTTCGAAAGATTAATTTGTTTACCAACAGACAGATTTGGCTGTCACTGCCAAACCAGGTGACCTTCAAATCCGCATCTCCTATTTGAAAGCAAAGTGACTGGAGTCATCTATTATTACACGCCAGTCACACTCACATCATTTCTTTTCGCGAGGCTCGTGTGACAGACGCTGGTGTTAAGGCAACAGTCAACGCTGGCCATCATATAATCAACACTATAAGTCTTAATCATAAAAAATGCTGGATTCTAATGCAGCCACACATGTAAAATAAAGGAATGAGAACATAGTGTTAAAGGAGTAGTTCACTTTAAAAAAAAACTATTGCTGATAATTTACTCACTCACATGTCATCCAAGATGTCCACGTCTTTATTTCTTCAGTTGAAAAGAAATTAAGGTTTTTGATGAAAACATTCCAGGATTTTCTCCATCTTATGGACTTCATTGGGAACCAAACGGTTCAAGGTCCAAATGAGAGTTTCAGTGCAGCTTCAAAGGGCTTTAAACGACACCAGACGATGAATAAGGGTCTTATCTAGGACCCTTCGATTCATGACTCGAAAAAAGATTTGTTCATTTTGATGAACGAGTTTGAACAGGAGAGTCACGAACGCGCATCACAGAACAGCAAGGCGAGCATTTGTGCTTATAAAACTAAAACTTTTTTATTTATTTTTGAAATGACAGATCGTTTCGCTAGATAAGACCCTTATTCATCGTCTGGTGTCGTTTTTAGCCCTTTGAAGCTGCACTGAAACTTTCATTTGGACCTTGAACCGTTTGGTTCCCAATGAAGTCCATTAAATGGAAAAAATCCTGTAATGTTTTCATCAAAAACCTTCATTTCTTTTCGACTGAAGAAAGAAAGACATGGACATCTGGGATGACATTGTGCTGAGTAAATTATCAGCAAAAGTTTTTTTTTAAGTGAACTACTCCTTTAAAGGGATAGTTCACACAAAACTCTCACTCTCATGTCATTCCTTGTCAATCTTCTGTGGAACATAACAGAACATCTTCTGAGAAATGTCTGAGTGTTTTTTTTCTTCTGTACAATGTCAATGGTCACACAAACCAATATTCTTCAAAGTATCTTCTTTTGTGTTTTGTTTAAAAAATAAAGTCATACAGGTTTGGAACAACATGACATGAAAGTGAGAAAATGATGACAGAATTTTCTTTTTTGGATGAACTGTCACTTTAATAGACCTTTTTAAATAATAATAAAAAAGAATAGAATCATTCCTGTCCAAATCTTACACTGGCCCCGTTTCTCTTGTGCAGGTGAGGAAACTGAATCCCATAATTTTGTTGCATGAGCTCCTTGTTCTTTGGGTGGCAAGGGTTATTGAGGAGACGCATCATAAATGCTGACTTGTGCTGTGTGGGAGATAGAAATATAGAGTATAAAATACAGATTTTTTTTTGGCTTAACAAATGTCATGAATAAGTGTAAAGATGTAAACCTTTTCCCCAGGTGATGGTCCAGAAATCTGGATTTTCTGAGGGCGTGCATTAGGCATTGCCTCGTATGCTGGTTGCCTAGAAAAATGTTAGACATATATTTTAGAGTTCATACAATTTTACATTATGCAATTGAAATACTGTAAATTCGTATAAAAGTTTTTTAAAATACCATTTAAAAGGTTTGGCAGGGGCAATCTTCTTTTCAGGGTCTTCAATACAAGGTAGAGTCAAAACCTGATTATGGATAGTTTTCAGATAATGCTCTGCATGCCTCTATGAATCAATAAACACATGTCATATTTACACACAGTACATTATTCTTCATGCAACACAAAGTTTCGTCATGAAACTATATCGGGCTATTTCATAGATAGGGTTTAGACTAAGCCAGGATTTGGCCTAAGTACAATTTAGTAATGTGCCTTTGAAAAAAAAAAACATTACTGATGTGCATTTTGAGACAAAACAATGACACTTACATATTTTCAGATATGTCAGAGTAAGTTGCTTTCAGTTAAAACAGCTCAAATATGCATTTTCGAATGGGACTAGGCTTAAGGCTTGTCTGTGAAAAGGGGTTAGATGCCGCAGGCTAGGTCCTTGACTTAATTTGTAAGCGATCGCATCATTATCTACATAGCACAGCTGATTGGTCGCTTGGCATCAGGAGCCAATGAGCTTGCAGCTCAACCATCAACTACTTGGGATTGTTTGCCGTTAGCAGTTTGTAGCAGTGTGCTTTCAGAAACCTTCTACCTTCCCCATCTCCACCTGTATAGATCTACTAAAGGGGTTAATTCATGTAGGTTACATGTGACCCTGGACCACAAAGCCAGTCACAAGTCGCACAGGTATGGGTGTGAATTGCATGGGTCAAAATTATTGATTTTTCTTTTAAGCCAAAAATCATTAGGATATTAAGTAAAGATCATGTTCCATGAAGATATTTTGTAGATTTCCTACCATAAATATATAAAACCGTTATTTTTGTGAGTGAATGCAGCAAAATCGCGAACATTAATGGACAACTTTAAAGTCGATTTTCTCAATGTTTCGATTATTATTATTATTATTATCCTGTCCTATTCTATTATATCCTAACAAACCGTAGCAGATCTATTCCACCAAGACCAAACAACACAAACAATGCCACATCCATTACCATGCCAATCTCTCCAAGAGATGTCATAACAGAACCACATTAAACATATTTGTATGTTTTATTGCATGAATCTTACGAGCCAGCAACTGCGAGATGACCTAAATAGATTTCAATTTGGTTAAAATAACAAAAAGGTTATTAATTTATTATTTTGTAATTTATTTTGCAATTTTATAAATTCCCCACTCTTTGCACTCTTTAGGATATACAGACAGACCTCAACTATACAGACATATTATTCTAATTAATTCGTAAAGTCGTGATTTATTTACCCTTATTCCATTTTCTGTCCTGCTAATGGCTGTATCCAGAGCTTGAATGTCCAGAACTCCCCCGTTCTGTTGCACAGTCATTCGAACAAGATTCTTTTTTAGTTGTCTCAAATCATCCTGCACCTAACACACGAGAAAAAATATAGTATAGTCTTACTAACGTAACTATGTCATATTCAATTATTATATAATGTAACGTTAACCAGCAAAGCTTTATATTTAACAGTATATTAACACTTAAACAGCTGTCAGCCTTCTTGTTTACATTAAGTTACCTGCACTAAAATATGCCCAACTTCATCCTTATTGTTAAGCACGTCGGCCATTTCTCAACTAAATAACTCTTTTGGGTTTTCAAGACACATTTAAGTAACGTTAACGTTACAAGTCGTAATATTTTTCTGAACAAAGCTCTGGCCGTAACTATGGCAACAACGCTCCGTGAGAAACACGGGCAGGAATTATTATTTTTTTATTATCAGTTCATTATTAAGTAGGCTACTATATATTACCGTCTGTTTCTAAAGCTATTCATTGAAAAGCAGCTTTGCTATATCTCTTAAAGTAAACTAAATATTATTGCACACACAACGCGCGCAGACACGGAAGTAAGTTGAGGTTAGAGGTGAAAGGTTTTCTGGAAGAGGTTGACAGCTGTTGCTAACGTGCTAACTTTCATTTGGAGCTGTTTTTAAGTGTCTAAACGCATAAAATGGCAGATGATCAAGGAGATGAAGTATTTACTCTGCCGTCTATCTTAGTCACAAGCTGTGATTCCAGCTTTAAAGAAGAGGAGCTCATTAGACGTGAGTACAAGGGGGACATTTATCCTAGAGTCGTTAGCCTTGCAGCTATGCTAACGTTAGCTGTCAACAAGAAACATCCAGCGTAGTGTCACCTAATTGCAAACGCGATAATAACAGTTTGATTATCAATTGCATTAAATGTATTGTGCATTAATGTATTGTGTAACCATAGCATAAAGCAGTATTTTTTGTTAAGATTTTCCAACTGTCATCTTAGAATCTATTATCTGGCTCGTCTTTGCTCGTTTCATGTAACATGCAGTGTTTCATTAAAGTCAAATTGCTTTCTTTACACGTTTGTCTGTCATATTGGTTTTCTACAAAAACCTTGATCTTAGACTATTGATACAATGTGATATAACGGGACAATATGTGTAAATCATCATTTCTGGTATTTACTAATATTATTGATACAGTGATGCACTATATAATACGTGTGCAATATATAGCATGACACAAATATGATACGTTCACACTGTCAAATCCTTTAAAATTGGGTGATTAAGGTGTATTCTTGTCTAATATATATGTGTTCTAATTCTATCTATCTATCTATCTATCTATCATGTATAAGTTAGTGCTTACTTTTAGTACAGCAAAAAAACTTTTATTTCTAAGAATTAACTGATTCTTATCTTTTTTGTTTTGTTTTTGTGTCCAGCAGGCGGCAGTGTTGGGCTTCATTTTTTCCTTTATGGCTTATTTTAGTGGCTGTTTTCACTGCCAGTGTTTTTATTTTATATTATTAATTTCAAATACACACTCGGCCAATAACAATTTTGTCTATATTTATTCCAGAGATCTTGGGCTCAGAATCACTGCCACAAGCTACCAAAATAGAGGAAAGAGTTTCTTGGTTTCCATGGACAATTAACAACAAATACTACACAGCAGAAGTCAATCTATGTGTTGTTTCAAGTAAATTTGACATGAATGCAGAGGTTGCCCGGTCTATGCAAGCATTCATCGTTTATTTTGACAGCAAAACTGTGAGTGATGGACAACTGGACACATTGATCATTCGACAATTTCGTCATTTTATGCATGTGCCCTTTGAGTCAACTCTTTATGTATTTCAGAAAGACGCCCTTAACAATGTCAACTCTTGGTTATCAGTAGTGGAGGAACTGGCTCCAGAAGTGCTGATACTAGTTTGTGACCATGTGTGTGACAGCGGTGAGTATGTGTTTGGTATCTTTCATCATTCAGTAGTTTGTTTTGCTAAGTTTGGTGTGAATATACCGTTGCAGGTGTTAGCAGACAGGAAGCCCAGCAATGGTGTCTGGCTCACGCATTTGAATTAGTAGAGCTCAACCCTGAAGATCTACCCGATGAAGATGGTGAGAGAGAAGACATAGTGAAGCCTTGATTATGCACACAAAAATGGTTTTGTTTAGTCTTTTTTTTAATATATATCCTGTAGATGATTTCCCAGAGTCCACAGGAATAAAAAGAATCCTGCAAGCCCTCAATGCCAACGTGTGGTCCAGTGTCGAGATGAAAGATGGTGAGATTGTGCTGCCCTAATGCCAAAATGTACAATGTCAAGTCACCCTTATTTTGTATAGCACATCATACAACAGAAATTGTTTCAAATCAGCTTCACAGTAAACAGGAAGCAACCAAATTTAGGATGCAAACCATCATCAAAGCAGCTCACATTATTCAGCTCAATAACTGTATAAAGATAATTCATTATGAAATACCAACAAACCACATTCACAGGTTCATTCTAAGCAACGTTAATTACCTTTTCTTTTGATGATCATTTATTCCCCTCAGTACATAATCAGGGATTTGGGCTAATGAGCAGCCTGGTGGCCTCGCGTCACAACAACCCACGGCCCAGTCAAGAGACACTGGTTAGTCTTTTCTCATTTTCTACTATTTAAAATATGTAAATGAACATTATTTAGCTTTGTCTGTGTATGTTAGAGTCTTAAAGGGATAGTTCACCCAAAACCCAAAATTATGTCATTGTTTACTCACCCCCAAGTTGTTCCAAACCTGAATGAATGAATTTCTTCTGCTGATGAATGTCGGTAACCAAACAGTTGACGGTAAAAATCGATGAAAATACTATGGATGTCAATGGGGTCATTACATTCTTCAAAGTATCTTCTACAGGTTTGGAACAACTTGAGGGTAAGTAAATGATGACAGAATGTTCATTTGTGGGTGAACTATCTGTTATCTAGTTGTAACTGGCTGTTTTTCTCCCTGTTATTAGTCCTCTCATTCCCCATCCAACAGTACAGATGAAGGCACTGAGAGCCAGAGAGCTGAGAATAACCAGAATAATGCAGTGGACACAGTAGTTGGTATGTAATTTTGCTAATGGCAATATAGTTATAGTCATTTTGAAGGTTAAGTAATGGTAAGTACAAATGGAACAAGCTATTTTTATATATATATTTAAATGTACTTTTGTTCAGTGTTTAATAATATATTTGCCAATCTCCCACAGATCCCATGATTGACATTGATATCCAAGAGCTGGCTAATCTAACAGCTGGCGATGCAGATGTGGAGAATTTTGAACGACTCTTTACTAAATTGAAAGAGATGAAAGGTTAAAAGGACTTATTGATACACTACTGTTCAAAAGTTTGGGATCAGGAAGATTTTGAATGAAGTCTTTTATGCGTGCCAAGGCTGCAATTATTTGATCAAAAATACAGTAAAACAGCAATATTGAGAAATATTATTAAAGTAGTTCACTTTAAAAAAAAAAATTTTTTGCTGATTATTTACTCACCCCCATGTCATCCAAAATGTCCATGTCTGTCTTTCTTCAGTCTAAAAGAAATTAAGGTTTTTTATTATTATTATTATTGTCAATGTTGTAATTTCTTAACAATTTAATTTGTCCTTGTGAAAAAAAGAATTAATTTCTTTAAAAAAAACTTGCTGATCTCAAACTGTGTGTATATACATATACATATATGTATTTGCATATGTTAAATTGAAACATTAAATTCAATTGAATGTGTTTTTTTACAAATAGTATTCACTATTCTGACATTTCTTGTAGACAAGGCCTCTTCATTGCCACATGAACAGAGGAAAGTGCACGCAGAGAAGGTAGTGTTCTCTAATTAACACTAATGTTAATACTTTTTCAAATCCAAATCTTGAACTAACAATAGATTTTCCCTCAATCAGGTTGCTAAAGCATTCTGGATGGCTATTGGTGGAGACCAGGATGAGATTGAGGGCCTGTCATCAGGGGAGGAGAGTTAATGCCTGAGTTACTCTTAACCAGCTTCCACTGTTGATACTCATCCAACCCTTCGAACCCCGTCATCCCAAATCTGCTCAGCCCAGTCCTGTCCTGTCCCGCCCGAAAAATTAAGATCCGGCAAGAGGAACATGAGGAGCTAAAACAGCAACTGAGATTTTCTGCTGTTACTATAATATAAACATCCAACTCCTCAGTCAGGCAGTACAGTGTCATTATGGGCTTTTGGCTTTAAACATTGTAATCTCAGAGCCATTGAATGGGTTGCAGGGGGCAAGATTGTTATCTTGTATGCTCTCTGCTTCAGTGCAAGCAACATACGAGGATGAAGCCTATGGTTCTGTCAAAAGTTGTAAATCATATGACAGATGAGCTGACAAATGAATTATTTATAAACTTATTTTTCCTTGTGTACTTGATACAAGTCACAATTACGGACTATGCTTGAGCATGTCATTAGCTCTTCATCAATTAAAATAATAATCTGTCGAATCAATTTAGATGTTCTTTTCTTTTGTTGAAAAATAGAATTTTACGTGAAATAAAACAACTCTTTACAAAAGAAGCAAAGGCAGTGCAAAAACCGATGCTCTTAAAACATTTTATTATTAAAACGTACATAAAAGTCAATATAACAGGGAAGTCTTCGTGAGTGTACGTTACAGAAAAGCAAAAGGGGAAATTCAGGGAAAACAAGAATTAAGCACCAGTTTAAGAATATGAATTGATTAACTGACGCTATTAGACAAAGAATGTATTTGCTTCCAAATCAAGAATGCAAAGAAAATAAATGGGTTATAAGGAATATTCCAGCATAAATGACAAATATAAATAATATCACCAGTCCATTGTGTGCTTTGGCCAATGAAGAGCTGGCAAGATTCAGAATTAAACACAAGCATCAGTTGTTCCATGAAATATCCATTTGATTTTCAAAATCAAGCAAAGATTGTCAAGATTTTCATGAACAATGATTCAGTGCTTATTACTTGGGAAACCAGAATAAAATGAGAAATGCTTACGGACTGCTGATTTCTGACCATGCATCGAGTTGGATGTTAAATGTCAATATTAACAAATTCAGGGATTAAATAACCTGAAAAGCAAAGTGTACAAATAAAAATCTAGCCATTTACACTATTCTCGTGTGAAATCAATCTATATGTAAAAATACAAGCTTTCCAAGAGCTGCCAGCAGTACTTGCCCTCCATTTTTTTTTTTTTTTTTGGTAGAAAAAAAACAAGCCTCTAAATACGAGCTTTTTTTTTGGACCCTCTCAAGAAATCACTGTAAAATGGTGTAGTATGTAGAGAAATTAAATGCTGTTATTTGTTAGATGACTTCATTAGCTCAAAAATCTGAGTCTAACACAATCTTTCATGCACAAATCATACACAGAAGTGAATCGATGAAAGGACAATGAAATCAAGTGAATGTTTGAAAGAGAAATGTGATGAATAACGGTGTGGTCACTTTTACCACTGTTTGGCAAATGTTTGCCTGCAAAATCCAGTCATTTTGATATGAAATACACACGATTGGGAATTCGCGATACATTTCCCTAACGTTAACCTTGGTAAACTTGGTTCGCCCGTGAAAGTGACTTCTGTGTGAGCAGTGCTTCATACATTTACATTTGTCAGACATTTTATCCCAATCTTTCCATACAATGGACCAGTGAAATCTTGCTAACATTTTTACCCCCAAATTTTTTGCACAAATTTCGCTAATGTGACCACACCTTAAAGGGATAGTTCACTTTGAAATTAATTTTTGATAGGTTTTAGCTTACCTCAAGGGCATCCAAGATGTAGGTGTCTTTGTTTCCACAGTATTTTCAATTTTGACATTTTTCGGTCAAACCGGTGTTGTCTGTCAGTCATATAACAATGCAGGTTTAGTGGGTCCACCTCAGAGCATGCACAGAGAGAAGTCCAAATTAAACATGATTTAATGACTCGAGAATATAAGTACACACTGATGGCCTAGACACGAAACGAGCGGTTTGTGTGAGAAAACGAACAGTATTTATATAGTTTTACCTCTTTTTAACAGCCGTCGAACTGATCTGAATCAGATGCCTGTCCAACTGAACCGAACTGAACCGTTTCCAGACGTTACGCCGGAAGTGATCTCTCGCGCGTCAACATCACGCATTGTTTACACGGAGATTTCGGATGACACTAAACATATTTATTTAGATATACGGGAAATCGCAATGGAAGACGATTTCGATATATCTAAATATGTATTTATCTAAATATGTATTTAGATATATATCTAAATATCTAAACAACGATTTGACCGAAAAATGTCAAAATTGAAAATACTGTTGTGGAAAAAAGATACATCTTGGATGCCCTTGAGGTAACGTTAAGCCAAAACATCAAAAATTAATTCCAAAGTGAACTATCACTTTAAGGGTGTCCATTTTTCTTCAAATCCATGTATGACAGTGATGACCTGCAGATGTGGGTGATAAATACTTTACAATACTCTAGGGCAGCAGTGAAAATATACTTTCGCAATCGCCATTCGGTTTATTATGCAAAAATACTTTTTACAAAAATGTCTTTGCTGAGCAAAATTCAAATGGTAACCAAGTTCAAGAAATATGGCACTATTTGCATTTGTCGTTGACAAATTTCCAATGCTATTTTCTTGTTCATGGCGTCATTGGTTAGTAAAAACAAGTGCTATTCATAATCAAGGCAAAGTAACTTTTTATAATTTTTACATACTCAGTTCCTGTCAGAAGTATAACCTGGTTGACCGTGCATTAGAGACAGACAGCAATCGCAATCACATTGTTTTGACCTGTCCAGTGCAGTGCAATTTACTTGAGCAAAACTACACACAAACAACTAGACAAAGACACACTGTAGCGGTTCACACACGACCCCTTCACTGAAGGTTGTGCAAACAAAACACTCTTCTCTGAAGGCTTGTCTGGTTCTGCACTACGTCGCCAGAAATGTCCATGAGGACATTTATGATTTTGAGCAATCATATTATGAGCCCATGATTCTAATACCTTAAGATCAAATTAAATGCGTGATACACTTCTTGATAAAAACAAAAAAGACAGAATCATAACTTCACTATCACATTTAAATTCACAATGAGGAAAATGCCTCATTTTAAACTCATCACACGGAGGAAATATCAGAGTGTCATAGTTCAAAGTGCTTCAACTGTTCGTGTCAATTTTGCCCAGAGCAAAACACTGGGATCTGTAATTGAAAAAGTGAAACTGAGGAGTCCAGCAGGTGTTTTCTCCCCTGTCCTTGATTTTGCTCTGTTTGTTTGCTTGGCATTAAGCAGCAATAGAGGGTGGGTCCTGGATGTCATTAAATGGTAATGGGCGGAGGGTTCGTCCTATGACACGCTCGAGCAGCGGAGGTTTGGAGAGCCCATCTGAGTGAGCACCTTGTCCAGCCATTGCAGGGGGCCGTTGAGATGCAGCTCTATCCAGCAGGGGGTGCTGGTCACTGTCTGCCTCCTGCAGGACGGAGAATCTGGGTCAGTAATGTGCTTCCATGCCTGCCAAGCATTTTTAACACACTACAGAGCAGCCCGGAATAGCCGTTTTACATAATCAAGGGCAACCATTAGCTTTTTGTGTGCTACTGTCACAGAAATAAAGTGATTAAATTCCATTTGTGTGTGTGTGTTTGATTCAGCATTTATGTGTACAGAGCAATTCTGAAAGTGATGCAGATATGAACAACAGATTCAGAAAATCTCTAAGCCGGTTCTACATTTGCATAAGCAAATTACATTTTAATTCATACGCACATACACAAACGAAATATAAAATAATATCAAAAACACAGGAAAATACTTTTCAAATATCGTTTATCCCTGTGACAGCAAAGCTGAATGTCCAGCATCATTACTCCAGTCTTCAGTGTCCCATGATCCATCATAGAAATCATTCTAATATTTTGAGTTCTTGCTCAAGAAACATTTCTTATTATTAAAAATGTTGAAACAGATGATAACATTTCTTTCGTTAATTTTGGATGAATAGAGAGTTCAAAATGTATTTATTTATTTATTTTCATTTATTTGAAGTAGAAATCTTTTGTAATCAGGGTTAGGTAATATTTAAAATATATCCACTGTCATTTTGATGAATTTAATAATAAATAAAATAATAATAAAACAGAATAAAAGCTTTAATTTCTATAAAAAAAAACGTATCGACTTCAAACTTTTGAATGGTAGAATGTGTATATATATATATATATATATATATATATATGTGTATATATTTATATATACGTTGTATATATTATATATATTTATTAGGGCTGTCAAACGATTAATCAGTATTAATCACATCCAAAATAAAAGTTTGTGTTTACATAATATATGTGGGTGCACTGTGTATAATTATTTTAAAGATATAAATACACACACATGCTTGTATTTAAGAAATATTTGTTATATGCATATATTGTAAATAGATTTATATATAATTTATATTATATATAAATATAAATATTTTATATATAAATAATATTTTTATCCTAAATATACATGCATGTGTGTATATTTATATATATTCAAAATAATTATACACAGTGCACCCACATATATTATGTAAACAAAAACTTTTATTTTGGATGCAATTAATCGCGGTTAATCGTTTGACAGCCCTAATATCAATATATATATATATATATATATATATATATATATATACATATGTGTGTGTGTGTGTGTGTACCTGTATTCTGCCCCCCAGCCTTTGACAAAACTCATGCGAATGGTGCACATGCGGGTAAGCTGGTACACGGCCTCGAATCCCTGATTCACTGATTGGGCCAATAGAGCTGCAAATTCCTGATTATTGAAGATCTTCAGATTACAACCTGAGAGGAAGCAAAAAACATACACAACTATGTATGCTTGAGTGCTTCTATGAAACATAATGAGGAAGTCTGAAACTAGGACATGCCTAAGTGACTCATAGGATGTATATATACACAGCTGCACATTCATCCAATCACAGCGTACAGACGGACTGACTCACCTGGAGGAATCTTACACACTGTGGCGGGGTGCCAGCCATACCGCTGGTTACAGTTGGGACTCTGGACGAAAATAGCACTGTCGCTCAGACACTCAGCAAACACCTCACCGCCGATGTAATACAAGCGCACGCCTCGGCCTGGGGAAAGGTTGTGAAGTTTAAGAGCCAAAAACTGATTCGGTTCATTTCAGAATCTCTTAACTCCAGAAATGTGAGCTGAACGTACCGATGTGTCTGCGCGTCATCTCCACGGCTGTGTTGCGGTTGACGTTGACAACAGGCCCAGGCAGAAGCGCTCGGCGTTAGACGGGTCCGTAAAGCCGTCCACGGTCAGAGACGGTTGCGAGGCGTGGAAAGTCTCGCCCACACGCTGATTCAGCTCGTAGTAGGAAATCGAGCACCAAAATGCGGATTCACAATATGTTACCGGCTGCAGATCTAAAAGACACAAATATATGGGCATGAGAGAGGATCAGAGAAACAAAACAAGTGCAGAACAAAGTGTGAAACAACAGGAAAGGCGCTGGACTTTGGGTTCTGGTGTAATATCAGTGTGTAGTGATCACACTGTTGACAGAATGTGGCCCTTTGAAAACAGCAGGCTGCTCATGTGGAATTGGTTATTTGTTATTTTTATTACAGGGCCTCCTGGTGTCTCGCTGCAGAAGTAGAACAACCCAGCGACAGGATATTATTATTATTACGTTACCCTGGGCTGACTGAGAGGACAGAAACAAAGGCTTCTTTTATATTAGGTTTCCTTTTGCACAACTGAGAGGCAAGGCCTGGGACACAAGGTTCCCTAACTATTATACACAAGACTCCATTCAGGGATGGGTTGACTGTTAGCTTTGTAATTTGACAAAATTTTACAAAATTCATATATTTTTCATTTTTAAAATTCAATATGTATAGTTAAAGCTACACTGTGTGATTTTTACCCCCATCTAGCGGTGAAAAGGTATATGACCATCTTGTTCCTTTCAATTCCGATTTCGTTTTAACTCTATGGTGGCCAATGTAGTCCAAGATTAACATGGCTTCCAGTTCGACCTCGTCCATGAGTGTTAACTCAAACGTAAACGCGAAAGGCGAAGCTTGAATTAACGGGTATGTCCCTCTTTGGCGAATGTACATTCAAGATGGAGGGACAACATGGCGACCGACATTAGAACCCCTTACCCGTATGTATTTTCAATGGCATATTATACACTCGTGAGAATACTTTATTACTTGAACGAAGTAAATATACATTAATGAGCACATACTAAGTGTTTTTAGCTAAGATTAAACTAAAAAAATTACACATTGTAGCTTTTAACATATGTTTTTGTGAGAAATGTTTGCAAAAGCAAAATAAGTGTTATTTAGATTATTAAATCATTTAAATAACTAGCTATTTATCCTATTTACTGTAAATATACACACAATTATATGCATAGGATGTATAAAGTAAAAAAAATTATAAAACTATATATAAAAAATTATATATATATATATATATATATATATATATATAATTTTATTCATCAAGGACACATTCAATTAATTAAACGTGATAGTATAAAAGATTTCTATTCCAAATAGATGCTGGTCTTTTGGACCTTCTATTCATCAAATAATTCCAAAAAAGTATATCATGGGGAAAAAAATGTATTATGGTTTCATTAACAAAAATATTATGCAGCTGTTTTCAACACTGATAACAATCATAATAATAATAAATATTTCTTGAGCAGCAAATCAACACATTTTGAAGGTTTCAGGTGAAACGACTGCTGAAAATTCAGCTTTATATTTTAAACATACACATTACATTTAAACATTACATTTTAGCATACATTTTAAAGTGTACTAAAACACTAGAAAACTGTTATTTTCAATTTGATAATATTAATATTTGACAATATTAATGTTCTTTTTTTAATAAATGCAGCTTTAGAGAGCATCAGGCTTCTTTCAAAATCTTTAAAAAAATCAAATAGTGTGTAAACTTTTGAAAGGTAGTATAAATCCTTCAGAAATGTATCTGACAGCACCATTATATCACACTTCTTAATATGACTACGTAGATGTTCAGAGAACCACCTCAACTAGTTGATTTTGAAAATTTATGCACAAATCCAATTTATGCATATAATGATCCAAATGATCCAAACAGCTAATGGGCATAAATAATATAAAAAAAATACCAAAACATTCTCCCATTTTTTCATGCCTTGCTATTGTTAACAATTGTCGCTTAGATGGAGATAGTACAGGATGCTGGTGACATTACTCATCTGTTTTACCGGCTGTGACTCGCCCTAGTGTTTTCTCATGGGCTTACTGAAGCAGACTTCCTTCTCACTAATCACCTCACACACAGGACCAGGCAGGCAGACCAACGTTATGGAGATAATATGTCAGAGATAATCCAGCCAGATTAAACTCCGACTCACAGTGGGGTGGGGAGTACTTACAGAAATGACTCTCCGGGGTTCCGATCACATCAACACTTTTGAAGGAGTTGATTGTTATCATGGAACAAACCAACTACACATCCAAGGGAAAGGGTGCCGAAAGTAAAAGCCAAAATTGCCACCTTTTTGCAACAAACGGTGCATTTTAGATTATGTGTGGCACATCCGTTTGGGGGAGTTCAACTCAAAAGACTACAATTTCAAATGATAAGGTTGCGCTGCACATAATACCAATATCCATCAGTCTGACTGAATTTTAATCACTTTTTAAAGAACCTTTTTGATTAATGAAATGTATTTGACATAATACAGAGAAACTGTATATTACTACAGTGATAGATAACACGTCTATAATAGTGCTGCGTAAATAATCAGGGGTTATTCATGGATTCATGTTAATGCTTTTACACTTTTAAATGTATTTTTAATGTTCGCTTTACAGTATAACCAAAGCTACACCTATAAAAAAGCATGATGGGGTGTAGGAAAAAGGTGGCTAAGATGGCTTCTACAAGATTTGTTTCAAGTTTCAAGTAGAATTCCTAAACTACATTAGTGTCATTTTATTAATTTGACAACTTTATTATTACTATTTTCCACATGTTAGAATAATAGTAAAGAAGGAGTAGATGTACAAACGTTTGGTAGTCTATATATCACTCTGACAATCTGGAATCTTACCTAGGTTGCTGTTTGCAGGAGAGACAGGGTTGGGTGAAAGATTTGGGGAACCTGAAAAATAGAATTAGAAAATTATAAACAAATATATTCAGCTTTGGTATCTAATAGCAACTGCTTGTTTGTTATCCCAGGGCTCTAACCTGTGTCCATGCTGTGGTTCATTTGGTGGTCACTGGTTTCCCCATCCTCACTTAGGTAGCCCGGAGGTGGGGTCTCTGAAGCATAAATGAGACACAGAGTCTTATTAAGCACCACAAATACGCCAAATGTACAATACAAGACATAATTTGGTCTCCCTGCAGAGCACATGTTTAAAGATTCAACAGTTAGTGGTGTGTTTATTTACAGCCTAAAAGGGTTAAATATAGTGTTTTCAAATGCTAAAATGTTTAATCGCGATTAATGTCATAGTTAACTTGCGATTAATCGCAATTAATCGCACCTTTTTATCTATTCTAAAAGTCTGGACAGACATGAGGGTGAGTAATTAATGACAGAAATGTCATTTTTGGGTGAACTATCCCTTTAATTATCAATCGACATTGTTGATTGTCATGGTACCAGAGGTTGAAACTGTATCAAAGCCAAAATCGTGTGGATCCAACAATACTAGTTGCAGAATTTAAATATGAAAGGGTGAAAGCTCTCTTTGTAGCATTAGCTTGGCTTTGTGAAGAACTTTACTCAAAAGCCAAAACGAAAATGTGTCCTATAGTGAGAAGGTCTGCCTGGAATTTTTATTTTATTTTCCTCAAGTCATGTGAAACACTTAACACCAATAGCCTTGAGCATCAATATGATGTTACCAGTCATGAGATCAGAACTTTGATCTCTCCTTGTCTTATTCTCTTTTACCAACCTCATTAAGACGCCAGACTAAATGCTTTGATTTTGACAAAACAGCTTAAACGAACTGAGACACGACAAAATCAACTCAAACAGATGTGGCTATGAGCCAGCATTCGTGTGTGTGTGTGTGTGTGTGTGTGTTAGAGTGAGTAATGCCTGTTGTGTAGTCCTGAGGGCATGTCTGGGTGAAAGTTAATGTGTGATTTTTCGAGGGAAAACAGAAAACATGTTTGTCACCCGGTATATAGTTGCTCGGAGGCTCAATGCCCGCTGGGAATATGGTGTTCTCAGGGATGGAGTAATCATCCAGCGGAGGGAAGTCTGTGGGGATATCAGCATGCCGAGGAACCAGGACCGGAGGCAAAACTGCACACACACACATAAAAAAAAAAAAGAGGAGAAAAAAAATAAATTAATCCCAATAAATAACTCAAATTAGTTTCATAATATAAAAAACTGATTATGAAAGTGAACAGTCATTGAATGACTGAAACACCTTCGGGACTTACCTGGTGTCTCCACACGTTGGTAGTGGTAAGGGTTCACACACACCTCGTCCTTCTTCATGTGGAAAGCAAACTCGCACAAGTCTACGGCACGCAGTTCATGGTGGGACTGCAGGTCAGGCCAACGCCACAGCCGGCAGTAGATCACATGGGGGAGGCCTTTCCTGTGAGATACCTGTAGACGGCCATCCAGAGACCTGCACATACAGTTCAGGAGACAATACATTTTTTTTTTTTTTTTAAACAGTCTCATGAAAGTTAACACGATAATAATTCTACCTTCTTAACACTGACAGAACACTAAACGTACGGCATGACTAAAAACCAATGACTCTTATGAGCTGTTTTTTTATTATTACTGCACATAAAGACATATTACTGGTTTGAATTTATTTAATAAGTCACTTGCTCGCTGAATTACTCAATTGAAGTTTTTCAGTGCGTCATTTATTAATGTCCAATTCAAACTAAGACCTGCGCAAGTAACCCTTTTGTTTTACTTGCGGCCCATGAGATCTAGATGAGTGTAATTATTAACGGTTATGATAATGTCTATTTAAAGATAAATATTCTGAACAGAGTTTTGTTGTAATAAATAGTACTCTAGTTAAAAGGGAATACTTAGAAATATATACATGAATCAAAATCTGCTAAGGAGTAATAATGGAACAGTTTTTAAAAAGGGATTTTTCGCTATTATTTACAACAGGGTCTGGATTTTCAAGGGTTTAAATAAAATATATTTGTTAGGAGGCAATAAAAACATAAAAACCAGTCCTTTCCTAGTATAAAATTAACATGATTTTCAAAGGTCAATGAATTTGAAACAGCTGAATGTAACATTTTTGACGAGCCAAACATGTCAGTCTCGGAGCAACATGCAATTTATCTAATCCACAAAATAAGTAAAATGAACTATGCAAAAAGCATTTGAAAGTCTCCAGCACATTTTATAATTACCCCTGTTATAATGAACATATCTTCTCATATCCTGTAATGAACATAACATATCCTGAGCATGAGACGATAAAGTACGTAATAATAGCGCATGCGAGTAGCCTATAAATTTTTTCTTTACTTAATGAAATTGAATTGGAATGATCAGGGAACTGAGTGAAATACTTCACACTGCATGCTAAAGAGAATAAACACTTAGAGACACTTTGTGCACTTAGAGAGTGTGCAGATAACAGCACACTATTTCGCCTCTTCTTGCGCTTGAATGGTTTAAAATCGCCTGAATGTGTAAATTAGTCAGACAAAACAAGTGCAAATTATAAATTTTCACTGATGGTTAAACTTCGCAATTAATCAACTAATCACATGTGTGCCGAACCGTGGGATCACGGATTAACCCCTATATAGTATATAACAGAAAACAATTCACTTAAAATGTTAACCTCAGTTTCTAAAGCATAATGTGCCTGATTGCACAATGTACAACGTTATTAAAGTGAAAGCCCTATAAATCTTGCCCAATGAGTCTTTTAATAGCCTTGCAACGGCTCATTCATTTTTCGCTGAAGTCAGGATATTCAAATGGTGCAATAGACCTGTAAGTCACCAGCTGGAAGGCCCTTGAGAGCCACCAGAGGGCACTCCACATCAGACTCATTCCCTCACAAACTACATTTCCCATAACTCACTGCTCGGACTCATTATCCATTATCACATTCACCTGTGTCTCATTATGTTGTTTAGCTCACCCCATATAACCCTGGTTTTCTCATTCATTTTCTGCAAAGTCTTGTTTAGTGTTACACTACAATTCCAAGCATTCTCCCATGGTTTCATGTCTCTTAGGCTATGTTTACACGGAAACGATTCTGAAGAGAAAACGCAAAAGTGTCGTTGCGTTATCACTTTTTATTCTGCATTTAGACGAGCGTTTTGGGTGGGAAATCCGCGTGCATATGGTGACGCAAAATTGTGTGAAATGCAATGTAGTATGCACTCCAGGCGGCTAGGTGGCAATGTGGAGCACATAACAACACCAAGTCCGCGCACCTGCATACAACTTTTACTGTCAAGCAGACTTTTGCGTTTTTACCGTTTACACGGGAACGCGACGGTCGAGCGTTTTTAAGATTTCCACTCTGGTTGGTGGTTTCACTTTTTTCCGTTTTTAAGCCCCAAAAACGCCATTGCCGTGTAAACGAAAGTCACATCCGATAAAGTATTTTTACGTTTTCACCCGCGAGCGTTCTCGTGTAAACAGGGCCTTAGTTTTGGATTTCTTGCCATTTCCGTGGATTACTCTTTTGCCCGTGTTCCCCGTCTTGTTGTGTTTGTTTGTATGGACTGCCTGCCTGTACTTTGGATTACGTCTTTGAATTACCCTGTTCAATAAACACTGCATTTGGATCCTCAACCTTCTTATCTCGGAGCAGTTTGTGACAAGACCCTTTTAGTGGAAAGTGAATCAGGCCTTATTTTCATACAGAAGGGGAGAGGTCACCGGCTGTGAAAAGAGAAAGCTGCAGAAAAACATGAATCATCCTACACGCTATAATCATCCTCACGCTATTGGTCTATACACCATGGCAGCCATTGCTAATGAATTTAATCACAATAATGCATTTTCACCCAACATCGGGATTATCCTAATTCTTTAAAAAGCTCAGAGGACTGACAGAAGATGAACAGAGAAAGCGAGCGAGTGAATTTAGAGAAGTAGCTTGAGTTCAGAAGGAGGGGAAGACAGCGTGGCAGGGCAGACACTCAGACGAGTGCGAACACACTTTTCCAAAGTAATGTTTACCTATTCATTCAGCTATGCACCAGCAGTATGAATGCCAGCAGTCTGCACTAGAAACGTCTGTATTTGCCAGACAGAGGAAAAATATCAACCCAGAATTTTATGTGCTGCTGTCTATCATCTTTTACGTAATATGTTTGTGAATTTAGCTTTAATCCAATAGCACTCAAAAGTAGTGGTTGACTGATATGAGTTTTATAATGGTGGAAGCCTATAAATAGAGAACAAGCTGACTGCTGACTGAAACTGACACAGAATTCCCTGAATAAAACAAATTATACAAATGCTGTATATTTTTTTGTTCATTGAGCACAAAAGGAGAATTTTTTGCCTTAAAACAAAAGCTCATGAGTGACCACATCTATCAAGCTCTAGGAATTACAACAAATATTATGCACGACCATCACAAGTCCTCAGAAGCAATAGGCTGTTTTTGTTTAAAATTTAAGTCACTGCAAATCTTGCCCTCAACTGTAGCTTTAAAATATGGAGCCTTTCAATGGATTGCATCAGGTTGGATGCCAATTACATCATTAAACCATATTGGAGTCGAGAACTAAAAAAGGGAAGATTTTAAATAAGGATATTTGGATCCTGACTGTCACTATGAAGCTGCCTGATTTTTTTCAAAAATTAGTTTTTTCTATTGCAGGAAAAAATAACAACATGCATGTTTTGGGTGAACTATTCCTTTAATACTGCTTTTTGCATATCTACACCGATATAACATTTAAAGAAACAAGTCAGCCGACTGCATATGCCTTGAATGCAACATCAGACAAGGCACAACAAGCTGTTGACCAGACCCTCTGTGAGTTAGCAACCTGACAAAGAGAAGACAGATTATCATGTTGTCGGACTCAGTCAATGGAGACAAAGCAAAGTCCTGGAGTCTCCCACAGTCACCACCACAGCTCAGCTGAAAACAGACACACAATTTCCATTCCTTCTGTTCAAGTCAAACTGACCTCCAGACTGACCTGAAAGTCACACACAGCAGAACTCATTCACCCTTCTGTCAAAGCCAAGAGCAGCCGTACATCCGTGCCACCCCCTCCAGAACACACACCGCCTCTCTAAAATCAACACTGGAGTCATACACGACAACAACATGACTAAAACCAGAGATCAACATGGTAAATAAATCGTGGGTTTTAAAATAAAAAAGGGAACCGGAGAGAGTTGAGGAGGGAAGACGAAGAGTGTGTGGCTCACCAGTAACCTCAGGGCTTCCTCTTCGAGCAGCAGTGTTTGTTGTCTACTCTCCCACATAGGCCTACCTCACACAAATTCACATCTGTGGAGTCACACTAAATCCATTACTCATCATCATTGCCCCTAACCTGACCTCTATTCTAACCAGTTTTTCTATAGATTGATAGAACGATAGATAGGACGAGGACGTGAAAGATTGATAGGACGATATATAGGACTATAGATAAGTAGATAAATAGATAGGTAGACAGACAGACAGACAGAAAGAGAGACAGATAGATAGACAGAAAGATAGACAGATGGATAGACAGATAGACAGATAGATAGATAGATAGATAGATAGATAGATAGATAGATAGATAGATAGATAGATAGATAGATAGATAGATAGATAGATAGATAGATAGATAGATAGATAGATGTAAACAACACTGGTCCAGAAACACTTCCTGTTTCAGTTTGTAACTGTTTTCTTTATTTCACATGTAAAGAAAACGTCTTAAATATGTTCGTTTAACTTTTTGATTCAGTTTTATATGTTCTGTTGGTTGTATTTTATCCCAGCTTTTATGTAGTGTCAAAAAACTGAAACAGGAAGTGCTTCTGGACAAGTGTTGTTTACATCTTGCAAAATGGTCTATACACTTGCATTGAAATTAATAATTTGATACAATGGGCTTATTGTGTACATATTTGTTTTTTCATTTTACTTATATTTTGAAAATACCTGCATGTAATTAAAGCTGTAATTAATTTATGTACATTAATTTGTACTTATCTTTCGATGTAAGTGCCTAGTACTTAAAGCCACTGGGACCGAACATTTTATTACATGTTTTAGAATGTTCCAGAAAGTCATGAACTCAGACAGTCCTATATTAAAAGACATTTTCAGCAGTTAGCATGTCTCACTGTGGGTAGTGGCTCTCAGAATATCTGTGCTCTATTTGAATAAGCGAGCGTAGCAGGAAGTAGCATAACCTCAGAGAAGCTTGTGAGCAGGTGATGATTTCCTGCTCTTGTTCTGTTGCACACGTGTGCAGTCTCCCTTCGACACCCAGCTGGCCACTAATGTGTAGGGACTAGTGAGCATCAGGACCTCACAGATTGCATGTCTCCATTGAGTATATTAAAACCAGCCTAACGCCAACCTTTTTACACTCAACCACAATCCAGAACAGCCCACGCCCTCCACAGACCTTACACTGCATTCTTGATCTCTGA